TATATATATGGATGCAAAAAAAAATTTTTTCTGATCTCAAATATAGGTAGCGTGATAAGTTATATGCTAAAAATTTTTTATGTAAATAAAAGAAATATGCAAGCATTCTAATGCAGTTATTATACGTGAATGAATAAACTATGCCATATAATCGACTAATGTTTCATTTAAATGTACAGCTTTTTAATGTATTTATTCAGACTATTTAATAATTAATGTCATTTAACATTGCTAAAACTATTTAACAACTTCTTTCTTTTTTTCTTTCATTCTTTTTGTTTTTCAGTTTAAAACTGTAATAAAATCAAATCGTTGATACGGCACGCATATATTTATTTTACTAATGAAATTTATTCGTTAATAAGTTATTTGAAAATTGAAATCTATATTGGCATTCAAAACTAATGGCCACTGCTACGACAGCATTGGCACGTCCAACGGGTAATACTGGTGGTGCAATGATGATGATGCCAGCGGGTTCTGCTATTGCTATGGTTAGTAAATTATTTATTCATAATATTCAAGTTTTTGAAGAAGAAATTTTTGAAATTGAAGTAAAATCCAACAAAATTCGACCAATTATTAATTATCGTAATCACTACAATTCGACTTGCTTTCATCGATTCATCTCTTTCTTCTTTCCCCTCTCTCATATCCGCTATGCTAATTGTAAAACCACCGACAAAGTTTTAGTCAATTTAGATAGATTAAGAAGGAGACGATTATCTAACAGCTGGCGCTGTAATCATTTCTTCGAGGGAAGGGATGAATTTTAAACATTTTTCCTTTTGTGATATACTGATATTACCATTGAGATATTGTGTGATGTAATGCATTGAAATTATCGAACATAAGTTTTTTATGATGTAAAAATTCGAATGACGTCAAATAGTGGTGTGCAATTATGATAAAGTTAATGTAAGCTATGTTAAAAAATTCACTCTGTTGGTTAATTAGGTTGCACTAAGTGAAGAAGAAGAAGAGTGTTGGCAAGTGCAATCTGTGGGTCGCTTGTTGCTATTGTTGCAGCTGCTTAGCGGTTGAGATAACAACTGATCAATTTTCATGTTTCAAGCGTCACTGATTATATTAATCAATAGGTAGAAGGAGAAATTGAAAATATATATGATTAAGTAGTTATTTATGACTGTAAATTTTAACTAGGGAAATATTCCTAAGTATGTTCAAAATTAACCTTCTAATTCATGATCACTTTAATTTACCATAATGATAGTAAACAATTGAGGATAGTATTATCATAAGAATATGATAAATTATTTCGATCCGTTTTAACCAGTTAATAGAAGGTGATAAAGATGTATTTCAAATAAGAGTAAAATAAATATGTGGATGAGTGAAAAAGCAGCTCTATTACTATAGCAACCGAGCGAACGAAGTTTATTTTTGTGCATGTGTGTTTGTTTGAAAGCACATATTTGAACTAACATTACCTTACTTGTAGAGTTGACGTACTTCTCATTTGCAACTTATTTGATTATCTTCTAATTTGATGTTACTTAAGTCATTTATTAACATTTATTATCATATCTATTACAAGCTCTATTTATTACTTCGAAGCTTCAATGCAAATAGTTTGACATGATAGTGAAAATGGTCTTTGGATTTTTTTTTAATTTAAAAAAACATTTACCGCAAAAAATCTCTTCTTATTCATTGGTTATTGTCTCTCTTCTTACATTGAATTATTTGTAAAAAAGATTTAATGGGTAGCAGTTTGTTTGTATGAAATTTGGATAAAATTTTATAAATTTTACAGGGTTGTACAGGTCAGCCGTCACAAATACCATTGTATCCGTCGCAACAAAGTGCGTATTCTGTTTATCCATCACAAACTGCCATTGGAGTGTCATCAGCTAATGAACGTTTAGTTTCGAATAATTCTTGTGGTAATTTTTTTTTTGCTTTACTTTGTAATTTATTTTGGAACTACTGAATCGTTCCACTAGAAAGTCTGTGTGATAGCTCTAAGTTTCAAAGTAGCATGAAAACACGTTCATGATATTGCTGTGTTTTGTATGTTATATGTGTTTGTCTATTAACTTTGCTAGCTATATTTTTTCATTAAATTGCAGATGCAGCACCTGGAAATTTCTTCCCCCAACAACCGCAACAAAGCTATGCATTGCAACGGTCATTTTATCAAAATTTAACACCGGAACCACAGGCAACAACAACTAGTAGTGTTATGTCTCAAAGTATGAATTGTGAAGCCATTGGTTCGACAGCGACCATGTCTAATGATAGTTTGACAGCATCGGTTCTAACTGATTTGAGTAAGGCCCGGCCACAATATTTATTTTCTATAGTTTTGTTAATTTATCGCTACTAAATGTATGCACTACATGAATTTCATAAGTGAGTCAGTCAATAATTCCAATATTCCAATACTGCATATGTCGTAAATTTAATCAATTACTGATTCTTAAATCGATGGCTAAACAATCAATTGATAGCTCTCTTGTTTTCTTGGAAAACAATGTCGTCGACCATCATCAGCTGGATTTATTATCCAAATATGAGTGACACTTTATATTTGTATTACAATATTACTGAGATCAATTGAGATAGATGATTAAGCGTATTGTAAATAATTTTACAGGTTCCCAGTCATTATCAGTTCGACGGCCTTCCAGTTGTAGCAGCCGGAGTCGTCCATCATCATCCTGCTCCTCCGCTACAAACATACAAATACCAATTACAAGTGCTACAGTTACTGTTACGAGTGCTGCTGGACTAACAACAAATATGAATGGTTTGGCTAATGCGTCGGTCACAAATAATACCATTGCATCAGTTTGTGCTACTAAAAGTGATGGTTAATTTTGTTTTTTTAAGTGCAATCGCATGAAATTTTTTCATATGGTCTTACTTGGAACCAAAATCAAGACATTATAATATATTTCAAATATTTGTATTGCTTTAGTGGCAGCGTATTCATATTATGCTAGATTTTAGCCAATCTTTATGATATCACTTTTCAACTATTCACTGTAATCTAACTAAATATAACCATTGAAATGGTGGGAAATATAACTTATGAAGAAAAAGAATTTTCAGATATTCTAATAATCCGTGATCCATTCGAAGAGGAAGAATTGCCCGGTACACGCTGTAATACCACAAATACCCGAATGATGTTATTCAATCAACGACCACCACAATATATCAACACTGGAAATCCTTTGGATTCTGGAGGACAGTTGGAGTTGCCCCGGTCAGAATATTCATGGATAAATTTTTGCATTGTTCATTCTTCTCTTTTTCTTAATATATTAATTGGAATGAAAAGAAATTTATAAATGGATTTTATAGATTATTAGTGATGCGGTTTCGATTTAGTCGTTTGAATGATTAAAGGAAATTCTGCCGAAATATACTTGTAAGTTTGAATATTTGTTTACAGGCATCTTCGTGTCCCGTATCCTGAATCGGCATATAGAGCATGTATTGCAGCGAATAAGAATTTGGCCAATTACCGTAACGGAGCACCGTTATCTTCGTTCATACCGCCCTATCCAGGGCTTCCTGGCCCAAGACCTGGTTCTGTTTTTGGTCCCAATGTTGTTCCAATAGAAAATTCAATAATATATGGGAATCCACAACAACAGCAGCAGCAGCAACAACAGCAACTCCCCGGAAATGGTGCAAATTTTGGGATTTTGCGGAATAATAGAACGCAAGGAAATACTTCACCAGGTAGTATCTTTTGGAAAACTACTGCCTCATTTTGTTTCTACATAGTTTGTCATTTAACTGGTATTTTTAGGTTGTCCACCGCTGTCAATGGGTAATGCACTTCCACCAATTCCAACCCAGGGCTTTGGAAACCCATATTGTGTTCAAGGACCGGCTCCAACGCAGCAGATGTTAGGACCACCTGGTAATAATTATATTCTGATTAGTCAACTTGCATTTGAACGAAACTGTTTTTTCAATAATCATTATATTATGTAATGGAGTCTTATGATCAATAAGCACAAGACGCCACTAGCATGCTGCCTGTAGAAACTGACTTCTAAAATTCCACAAATTTAGTTCTCTTAGCTTTTGATATTGCCGGTACTTATATGTATCTTACTAGCCTTAGGAAAAATTTTACTTAACCGTAATTTTCTCATTTCTCATTTAGCATGCCAAACGTTTTTGTTCGTGCTTAATGAATAGCACAGCCAAAACTATTTTATGCGTTCTATACGACGTTATTTTTGAAGTTTCAAAAATGTATGAAAATTTTTGATTCATCTTATAGAATTTTACTTCAAATTAAGCGCAAACAAAACTTCTTAACTAAAATGAAGAGTGCAGCCTTCAAAAACATGTATGCGCCGGTAATTAAAAGCATCCCAAAATATTTCTTCTGATGATATGTAAATTTTAAAATTCAAATAAAAGTTGGTTAAATTCAGAGTTTTGAGCTTGTACGGAAAATGTTTCAGATCTTTGTAAAGTGGAATTTTTTCTTAAAATCGGAATTTAAGTGATATAAGTAAAGTCAATTACAGAAAGTAATATAACTTTAAGCTTCCCTATATTCAGGAGTTAAGTATTTTCCTACTTAGTTAAAGTTTCTTTAATCCATCTAATTAAAGCAACATACACAGGAAAGTTAAACAATAATGGATAAGAGTTTAATAATTCTTATTGGTTCTTAAAATTTATTTGTCTGACATTAGCGATAAAAATAAAGTTTGGATATCTTTAGTTCAAATATTTTTTAACAATAGATATTATCTCAATAATGTAACTTCCGTGATATTTAGAACAGATTCGTTGTGTGTTTCTCGTATCATATGGAGATAGATTTGTCCTTTGTCATTATTCATTGCAACTGTAATTAGTTGACCATTATTAAATAAGTGATGTGTAACCTATCTTATCGTTACTTTGCAGGCTGTATGCAGCGTACGGAATACTTACCAGCTCCATCAGGTCCATATTGTATGCCGGGTGGTGCCGCTGGACAGCCTTATTTTGGAGGACAACCGGTTGGAAGATCCGAACCTGGAACTTCTAATATGGTGCCTTTGAACAATAGTCAACAAATAAATGCCATGGGAATGGGGGGCATGAATGGTGAAAGAATGGGACCTGTTATGGGTGTCATCGGTGTAGCCCAGCAGCAAAGTGTTGGTGCGACGACAGGAAAGAAAGGGAATACTAAAAGGCATGTTGGATTATCTGTGGTTTTTCAAGCTAAAGAAAAAAATACTTTTGGATATATGCTATGCATACGATTTTTCTTTGTGAAGCCTTGATGAAGTGGATTAATGACATCATCTGCAGATCCAAAGCTAACAAAGCAGCTGCAGCAATGCCGAATCTTAGCATCACAGATGAACAGCAGCTCTTGGCAGCAAGACGGAAGCAACAATCGTTGTTACCATCCGGACAACAACAACAACAACAGCAACCAATGGTACCTGGAATGATGCTACCAATGTCAGTTCCATCCCAGGACTTCTATTTATCCCAGAGCATTTGTGGCAGTCGTAGTGGTATACCACTTCACGTCGCATCAGCACAGCAGCAGGCGATGGTACCAATGGCACCTGCTAATGGAACTGCTGGAGGAGGCGGGCTAGGACAATTTGATCATTTTGACGGTTTGTCAAATTTTTTGTCTAATTTCTAAAGTGATGTAGTTTTAATACAGCTATTTAACTTTCGAAATGTGTGTTATATTTTTTGACGAAACATTTCTGCAAAATATTATGAGCATAACAATGTATATTGCTTGAGTATCTATGATCCAGTAACTAGGTTAAGTCGAGATGCATTTGAATTAGGTAATTAAACAGCAATGAAATTGTCCTAAATAGATTGATTTACGCAGTAAATTGATTATTTATAGTTCGACCTTCAACAAGTATGAGTTGTACGCCAATGTCATACTGTCCTTCGATAGCATCAGCACCAAATGCAACAGGTGAATTATTATCCCATTTCAAATTTTTATCAGTCTTTATGTAGTTTGGATTTAAATTTGTTTACTGGACTATCTGTATTATTTCTAGATGCCCCGCCTCAGCAACAGTCTACTTCTCAAATGATCGCTAATTCAATGATGATGACTAGAGGTTATGGTGGTTTCGAGCAAAATGGCTTCGTTGATGGTTTTCAGGTCTGTTAATAATCACATTTTTTAATTGTGTTTTAATCAAACGTATTCAGACATACGGCAAAACTTGGTGTAGTGGTATCATAGTTAGCATAACGGGGCAACTTTTTTTGAAAACTTTACACTTCTGTGATGAAGACTGAAATCATCAAGTAATTGGAGGTCCATGTACAGTTCGTTTTTTTTTTTGCAACTGGGATCATTGTTTCGGAACATCTTCCAAGTCTGGATCCTAACTCAGGAAAATTAGTGAAGGTGCTAAAGTTGCAAGTTCGAATTGGAAATTTTGAACTAAAATTAAGAAAATTTCAACCTTTACGGGAGCAATTGGAAGCGGTAGATCAACAAGAGCTTCCGTCACTAATCTTCTTGCAATTGATAATCCTGATCTATAATATGACTATTTATAATACTAGTAGAATCACCATCCATCTCATCTTGTTCAGTTCTGAAATTTTGCCTGATCGCATTTAGGTTGAAATTAATCAAATCTTCAGGCTCAACGGAATAATAATGGTAGCAGTGGTGATGTTGTTAGCAATAATATGGCAACCAATACCACCATCACCACCAGTACCAGCGGTGATTCGTTCACTATACTAAATGGTTCTACAAGTAGCCAGAACACGAGTACCGGTAACAAACAACGTTGTGTAAGCTGTACAGAAGAACTAAGAGTAAATTTTAATATTATTTATTATCTTTCTTACGCTTTTTCTTCAAATTTATTTATATCACTTTGTTGGAATCTATACCTCATGATTCTTTCAACTTTCGCTGTATTAATTTAATTATATTACGAATATAATAATGTTGTAGAGCGATCAACCCAGTATTCAATGCACAGCAAATGGCGAAGGTTGTCGGCGTTTCTTTCATCAAGTAAGGTTTCCGGCAAATTCAATTTTTTTTCCTGGAATTATAATCATCTGTTCCATGTTGTGAAACAGCCCGTTAAATTATGTCATTATGCCGTTGTTTTAAGTTTTCTATTTTTCTTTAGTCTATTTCTTTCTCATTTTTATATTACTGGAATAAGTCGAAGAATTTATGGTTAATTAATTGATTATGGTTTTGTACTTTAGGAATGTAGTGGATTATTATCGGATGCATTCCGTGCTATCATTGCAGAACCGTGTGCAGAATGGATTTGCCCAGATTGTTTATGCCGTCAACAAACGCAACTTACATTTGCTTAAATATATTCAATTATTGGTATATTTTTATTTATTTATTTTATTTCTACAAATGATGTTGTAGCACGTCTTATTATTATATATTTTTTCACTCCTCAAAATTACATCTTTATATTTATATATCATTATATATTTATGTCAGCGCATTTGAATATTTTGTCATTAGATATATATTTATCTAATGCGCGACTGATGATTCAAAAATATCAAAAGCTTAAATTTTTTTTTTTGAATAATGAGACCGTTAAATGTGCACGTAAAATTCATATAATTTCACAGCATTAGTTATGAAACTAATTTGAATAATCATAAAACAATGATGTAAATATACAAGAATATAAAGGATATAAAACATACAAGAATTTAAATATACGAACATACAAATATAAACATCCACATTCAAAGACATATGAATATATTCGAAAACCTAAAGACGCATTCAAATATGTTGCTGATACAACAGTATGCCTAAATATGATGGACAAACAAACAATATATAAATTATTGCACATATGAAACGATA